AAACGCAGGACATACGCTAGCGTATATTTCATCCGAGTATATTGTGAAAATCTTTGAAAAGGAAAAATAGAAATCTCTGTCCTAGCCAAAAAGGTGCAGTTTACTATAATTATTTTCACGGTTGGTTCCGTACTCAATTTCAGAACTATGAAGAAATGACGGTCCCTCCCACCATAATGAGGCTGATTTAAGTTTGTCTAAATACAGCCCCCGGGACACTAAATCAGCGGGGTTGTTGCCTCCACTTACATGATACCAGGGTACATCCTTAACAATTACATGGATTTCTGAAACTCTATTCCTCACAAATGTTTTTAGTAAGTTAGGAGCCATGCGTAACCAACCCAGCACAATAGTGGAGTCGGTCCAAAAAACTACGTTGTTAAAATCAACAGAGTAAAGGGCTTCACTTACTCTTTTAAACAGTTTTGCACCCAATAACGCCGCGCATAATTCTAACTTTGGGATACTAATTGACTTTAAGGGTGCAACCTTTGCCTTTGAGCAGTAAAGCTGAACAGATACAGAAGAATCAATGTTAATAGTGCGAATATAAATGCATGCTCCATACGCAGACTCCGAGGCATCACAAAAAATATGTAACTCTCGACCTACGGGTTTCATTCCCTGTACGTACCGAGGTATGCGTATGTCACCAAGAACATGCAAAGAAGAGGAAAATCGTTCCCAAACTTCTTTGACATCCCCAGGGACTTCTTCGTCCCAACCTATTTTTATTAACCAAAGTTTTTGCAACAGAATTTTACCTAAAATTACAAATGGACTTAATAATCCTAACGGATCAAAGATTTGTGATATCATTGACATAATATAACGCTTTGTGATAGTTTGAGAACTATCTCTTTTAAATGCTGTGTTAAAATGAAATTGATCCGTAGTATGAAACCAGCCTAAACCTAAAGTTTTCGAATGTATATTCTCACCCAAAGACAAATCTTTAGATGTTTCATGCTGCATTTCGTTTGAATCGAAATTAAACTTCCATTTCCTAAGTGGAAAGCAACCAGAAAGTAAAGTTTTTTCTACTGCTTGACAAGTTTGCAACAAAGATTTCTTACTCTCAGAAGTTGTAATCATATCGTCTACATAATAATCCTCGCTAATAACTCTCATGACGTCAGAATTCGTGCTTTCAGCAGCCAACTGCTTTAAACATCTACAACTCAAAAACGGTGCGGAAGCGGTTCCGTAGGTAATCGTGTTTAGCCTATAAATGCTTAATTGCTCTGACGGATCGTCACGCCATAAGATCAATTGCAAATCACGTTGATCTTCGTGAATAAGACACTGTCGGTACATTTTTTCTATGTCCGCACAAGCTGTGTACCTATTAAATCTAAACCTAATGAGAATAGCCATGAGGTCGCCTTGTATGGCCAGGCCCACCATTTGTAAGTCATTTAACGAAACGCCGTTGCTCGTACTGGCACTTGCATCAAATACCACTCGTAATTTAGTCGTAGTACTGTGCTCACGAAAAACACCGTGATGTGGCAAAAAATAATGTTGTTTCCCGTACTGATCAACACGACTCATATGACCCAAACGTATATATTCATGCATAAAGTCTGTATAAAGTTTTTTATAATAGGGATGACGCTGAAGTCTTTTCTCTAGCGCAAAAAACCGGTGCACAGCCTGTGAATAACTTTCGCCTAATGTATCTGTATTTTTATTAAAAGGTATACGAACACAAAATCGTCCGTCACTATTTCGCGTAGTTGTAGTGACGAAATGTTCCTCACACGCGCGTTCCTCGTCGGTGCACGTATCCCGAGCTACAGTTACTTCCTCGAGCTCCCAAAACTGACGTAGCAAGGACTCGACTGATTGAGAGAAGTTGCATTGTATGTACTTATCTTGTCGCAAAAGCGTACAAATAGGGCCCGACACTACCCACCCGAGTTTAGTATCTAATAAGAAAGGCCCGCTTAATAACTTTAATTTATTGTTATTATTTAATAAATCCCAAAATTTATCTGCGCCAATTAGAATGTCTATCTTGTGGGATTCATAAAATTTCGGGTCCGCTAGTTGAACATTGTCGGGAATGTCGAAATGAGAAGATTGGAGTGGTATAGCCGGTAACGAAGGAGTGATTACCGGAAGAACATAACACTGCAAATGCGTAGAATACGGGTTGGTGCGCGATTTAATCTTGATGTCACATATTTGAGTTGAATTTGTGACCGAGTTACCAACACCTCTTATTTGTTGAGTGGACTGTATTACTGGCGCTTTAAGTGAATCGCATAATTGTTTAGTAATGAAACAACGTTCGCTCCCGCTATCAAGGAGCGCGCGGGCAACATGAATATTATTATAAGGATCGGCTATCTCAACTAACGCAGTAGACAGCAAAACAACATTGGCCGCTATTGTTTGTGCATCAGGTAAATGTGCTTTATTCGCATGTATGATTGAAACCTGTTCTGATAAGGACGCGGCAGGCGACCGCGGGACGGAGTGCGTGGGGAAAGAGGGCTTACGCCCGGAGTGAGCGAGCGGCGCAGGCGCAGGATCCTCAGTGCGGTGCAATGCGTGAACTGCGTCGGAATTGTTATTTACATTGTAGGACACGGATGATATGTTACTGTCATTATGAATTAGCGAATTATGTTTTTCGTTACATTTTCTCCAGGGACCAAAACGGCAATAATCGGCAGTGTGACCAGTGCGCAAACAATTAACACACAGTTTCATATCGCTAACAAATTTTATTTTCTTATCGTAATCGTAATTTAGAAACTTTATGCATGAATATAGTGGATGGTTCGCCTTGCATAACAAACAGGTTTTCCCAGTGACATCTCGTGAATAGCGTTCCGGTGGCTTACCGGCAGAAACATTACAGTGAACTTTTGATTGATTATGTTGTTGTGGGTAGTGTTTTTTATTTTCAAAATTTGCCTTGTTATGTGATAACTGTAACGTTTCTAGCATGTCAGCCCGGTCATTAAGGAAACCAATTAAATTATCCACCTTAAGCTGTGCCTTGTGATTATTATTAGCAGATAATGAGGTGCCTTTGTATTGTTCCCATTCGCGTTCAGTAGTTGGGTCTAATTTAGATACCATTATATAAATAATCAGGGTATCCCACGATTCAGTTGGCTCACCGAGAATTTTTAATGCACGCAAATTCTTTAAAACTGTGTCTATTAATTTTCTTAATAAAGCTGGAGACTCTTTGAATCATCACTCAGTGAATAGAGATTTAACGTGATTATGAACCAGCAATCTGCTATTATTGTAACGATTGAGTAGTAATTCCCAGGCAATTAAATAGTTGTCACTAGAAAACTCAACCGAATTGTGGAACTTTTCTATATTACTTAACTCCTGAGAATTGTGGACTAAAGATAGAAAAGTGTCCCTAAACTCTAACCATTGTTCACACAAACCGTTAAAGGAGGGTAAAGAAATAGTAGGTAACTTTATAGATTTACTACTATGACTACAAGCGTTGGAGTTGCTGGCAAGTTGGTTTGGGTTCAATAGATATTCAGCCTGCGCTAGGATACTGTAATGACCATCTTCGAACGATTCTCTCTGCGTTAACTGCTCATCCAAATCAACGGCTAAGTCCTCCAATTGACTCTGAATATCATTGAATTCTTTATATAAATTTGAAGCCCCTTGAATACGCAACTTTAAATCTATGCGAGACTGACTTGAAATATTCTCTACTTTCATGTTACAGAGATAGTTAGCAAATTTAGTTAATCTACCCTTAACTATACCGCGTTTCCTTACTAAATCCTTAATCAAGCTCTCATTGCTACATTTGTAAGGGGATTTTTCACGCACTAGGCTTGGATCTACACTCATTTTGGTGAAAAGTAGTAAAGAAGGAGTACTTACGATTTGAAATGTAACTGCCGCAGCTGTTTCGCGGGTTGAGTCGTAGGCTCGTAGCAAATATACACAACAAATTAAGTACTGGAATAAGACAAAATGCACAGTATTACACAGAGGAAGTGGAGATAAAGCAGGAATAGACGGGATGGCTGGCTGTACCTTTATGCGCGTTTCAAAGGCTAGCTGGCTTCTCCCACGATTTGCGCTTATGCTTAGTGGCTCCTGGACTTCCGGTTGCTGCTGTTACTGCTGTGCTTTTGTAGAACCTCTCGACCTTGCGACTTATTTCCTGGTTCGTTACAGACGTTGAACCGTCGGTTGCAACAGTCGCTGATTCTTCCAGCGTATTATCCGGCGAAAAAGGTCCAAATGGTTCGGCGTTATGCGTACTCTTCAATAAAGCTCAGTTGTTTACTTCAATAATGCGTATATTGCGAATATAATTACAAATAAAATAAATAAATGAAAATTGCGAAAGAAAGTTGAGCGTACAAAATTTTAAATTGCGTAGAGAGTGAAGTGAAGAGGGGGGTTTTTTGATCACGTGGGTCAAAGCTGCTCTTTTTTTTTGACAGCTGGTTATCGGCAAGCTCAGTCGTAAAAAATATCATCGTACAATTAAAAATCAAAAAGTTGCTTAAATTAATTGAGTATAGTTCCCAAAGTTCGATACAATAGTGCGTAGTGTTGTGTACTGTTATCAAGTGTATCAATAGCAAAGTAAAGCTATTAAGTGTTAATTAAAAATTCACTTATCAAAAATCGTTTGCATCTACCTCATATTTCATAATAATTGAATTTATGTTTAAATTCTTACGCGCTGGTGCTATTCGGTTGTTATAAGTTGCACGGACAGACCCTATTCAAAGTGAGTGTGCACTGTGTTGGTTTTTGTTGGACTGAAACTGAAGGGCACGAAAAATAATAAAGAGACTTGTTGGTGGCGCCATCTGTCTGCACTTGTGAAATTTATGTAGCGTAATAATTTGCGTTGCTTTGTACTTGATCTTGGTGTTGGCTGTTGGCTGCCTTGCGTTGAACAGCTGTAGTGCGGTGGCTTACCGCTGTGTGGCGCGCTTCAATTCAGTAAAATAAATAAACATTATAAATATTAAAACATGGTTAAATGCGCTGCCTGTGGCAAATTTCTATCACAATCTGAATCTGTTCGTTGTTGTAAATGTAATTCTTCATTCCATAAGGCTTGTGTGGCCATACCCAATACCGCATCGGTGAAGGATAACTGGACATGCCCTGGATGCAAAGTAATGGTCCCCAGGGTGGACAACACGTCGACGCCGGTCAGGGGAGTGGCTGCGGATTATGTTGCACCTCCTGGTCCAGTTTGTTTGGATGGTCCAGCCTCTAACACCACCGAAGATCTGAAGCTTGACTTCGCGCTGGAGATTCGTTCATTTCGCAGTGAACTTAAAACTATTAGGGAGGAAATACGAGAGTGCCGTCTCGAAGTTTCCGAGATAAAAGCTGTGTTAACCTCATTCGATTCGAAGATCGGCGATATTGAGAATAGGGTGTCGGTTCTTGAAACAAAATGCGAACAAATGGAAACCCCTAACTTGAGCGTAATCGAGGAAACAATTGCTAATCTTCAGTCTCAATTGAACGATAGAGAGCAGGAGCTTCTCGCCAATGACATCGAAGTTTCCGGTATTCCAGAGAAAAAGGGCGAAATTTTACATAGTGTGGTCATGGAACTCTCTACAAAATTGGGTGTGCCGTTTGATGAACGCGATGTAGTACACATGGAGCGTGTAGGCTCGGTGCGTCGCAATAGAATAGAGGGGAGCGATGACGAGCCCGGTGAGCAGCGGCCGCGTCTTATTGTCGTGCGATTCGCTCGGCGGACGGCGCGCGATCAGTGGCTGCGCGCCGCTCGCATACGCCGCAACATTAACACTGAAGGTGTCGATGCTCCTGATTGCCAAAATAATAGTACCAAAGTTCCCAACAAACCGAGAAATGTTTATGTCAACGAGCGGCTCAGTCGTCGTAATCGGCAACTGTTTTTCCTCTCACGCCGCGAAGCTAAGAAGAACAATTGGAAATACGTCTGGACTAGCGGCGGTCGAGTTTTGGCTCGCAAGGGAGATGGCAACAGTGTTGTGCTTATTCGCACAGAAAAAGATATCTCTAAGATTTTTTAAATAATGTTTGTTTGGAATTTATTTTCATGTTTTTATTTGTTTTTTTGCTGCTACATAGCGCTAGTCTCGTGGTTGCGCTGAAAACTCATTTTCTTATAATAGTTAAGTTATCTCAGAAGCATACTCGTATTTTATTATCATATTCTTTTAAAAATATTAGTGAATTTAATTCTTATGTCTTGTACTTTAGTATTTACCCTATAACAGTATTGAATATGCATAATAATTTTATTTACACTTCGATGTTGTTAATTGTTTTTAGACGTATTTTAAATATTAATTTAACTCGCATATGTAATAAATTTTATATTTACAGCTTTATTATTTACATATATACAATATCTTATACACATAACACTCATCATAATGTATTGAATGAATATATTGAAAAAAAATTGATTTATGAGATTTGTGCACTATTTGAATTGAGATTCCGTAAGAATAACATATTTAGTAATGATTAAAATAAAAAACTTGGTTTTGGCTCTTTACAATGCCGGTTCCTTAGGCACAAATCATGATGACTTTATAGCATTTTTTAACAGGCACAATATAGACATAATGGCTGTTAATGAAACTTGGCTGCGACCAGGTGAGGAGGGGCGCGCGCCAGCCGTGCCCGGCTATCGACTGCGCCACACTCCGCGTCCGCGCACCGTACGCTCGGGCCGCGGGGGAGGGGTAGGTTTTTATCTCAAGCGGGGCCTTGTCGCGCGTAACTGGAGTGCACCAATAGATCCTAGGTATGACATGGTCGAGCAAATGTGGTTATTATTGTCAGTGAATGGGAAAAAGATTGCAATTGGCACAGCATATAGACCACCGTGGTTAGACTTGGAGATATTTCTTGACGCCATCACTGGGTCGGTTGCTGCCCTTGGTGACATAGACCATTGTATACTGATGGGAGACTTTAATGTAAATATTTTAGCGCTGAACAATGCAACAAAAAAAATTTGTGACACCATTTCTTACTTGGGTCTCAGGCAGCAAGTCACTTCGCCTACGCATTTCACTAACACAAGTGAAACCTTAATCGATCTGGTGTGCTCTGATCTCAGTGCCAAGCGGCTCACTGTTGAGTCGTTAGGTAGTAACTTGCACGGCCATGCTGTAATTTGGTGTGAATTTCATTTAAATAAACATAAAATTAAACCCCTCGTAGTGCAGTATAGGCCTTTTAAAGACATATGCTTAAGTCAATTTAACCTTGACGTGGAGGGGTTGAGTTGGAAAGATTTGTCTTCGTTTTCTTGTGTGAATGATATGGTAAGGTGTTTAAATGAGCATATTATATCCTTGTTTGACACACACGCGCCTATTAGGCAGTGTGTTATAAGAGAACCGACCCCACCGTGGATAACGGATAATATAAGACTCATGATGAAAATGCGTGACAATGCTTTGGCAGAGTTTAGGAAGAATAAGACTGCATCCAGTAAAGACTACTATAGACAGTTGAAGTCGTTAGTCACATCGTCGTTATATAGTGAAAAAGTCGCTTATTTTAAGTATAATATTAATAATAAAATATATGATCCGAAACTGTTATGGAAAAATTTAAAAAAAGATATAATACCGTCTAATCAAGGTGCAGAGCTTCCTTCCCATCTGAGTGATGTGGACAGCATAAATTATCATTTTATCAGCGTTCCAGGAGCATCCCGTGCCGCTATATCCTCTCTGACCTATTTTGAATTTCATAGGTTATGTGATAAAACGTTCACTTTGGCGCCGCCCAGTGAACATGAGGTTTTGCGCATAATTCTCAAACTCAAGTCGAACGCTGTCGGTTGTGATAATGTGTCACTGAAAATGTTGACTATGACCCTACCGCACACTTTACAGTGTATTCATGGTATTATTAGCAAATCTATAATAACATCGACATTTCCTGAGCTCTGGAAATCTGCTGTAGTGCGACCGCTTCCAAAGAACAACAACCCGGTTTGCCTGAAAGACCTTCGCCCTATAAGCATACTGCCCTGTCTCTCCAAGATTTTGGAAAGAGTTGTTTGTGTCCAACTCACTGAGTTTTTAGAAACTAATAAAATTCTTCCCTCATTGCAATCGGGTTTTAGAAGGAAACGCAGTACAACCACGGCATTAATTGATGTAACGGACAACATATTGGCTGCCCAGGATGCAGGAATGTGCACACTATTGGTTCTGCTTGATTACTCCCGCGCCTTTGATGCTATAAATGTGGATTTACTCTTATCCAAAATGTCCGCCTATGGTTTCGATCGAAGCACACTATTATGGTTCCATAGCTACTTAAGCAATCGGAGCCAATCAGTACAGATATGTTTAGCGGATGGATCCAAATGTGTTTCTAAGCCTATTCCACTTGATCGGGGTGTTCCCCAGGGCACCATTCTGGGTCCAATCCTATTTAATTTTTATTGCGCGGACATTGTTAAGTGTATACAAAAATGTAAATACCACATTTATGCTGACGACCTACAAATATACATATCATTCAGACCAAGTGCGTACATGAATGCTCTTAAAGATCTTAATGACGACCTTCACAGAATTGTTGACTGGTCTGATAAAAATTGTTTGCTGCTAAATCCTTTAAAAACTAAGTACATGCTATTTGGCACAAAAAAGCTGCTCAGCAAACTGCCAGAGGATTTGAGCGTTTCCCTGAAGGGGAATAAAATAGAGCGAGTAAGGGTAGCACGTAATCTGGGGCTGAGTTTTGACGAATGTTTAAGGTTTGAGGATCATATAGCGGAATCAGTAAAAAATTGCTTTTATCGCCTTAAGGTTTTATACAAAATAAGACCTTTTCTGTCTGAGGAGCTACGCTTGCAGCTGACTGAGGCGCTGGTTCTGTCAAAACTCAATTACGCTGATGCTGTGTATGGCCCAAGATTGCTGGGCAGAACTGAGCGGCTCATTCAGCGAGTTCAGAATGCATGTGGTCGGTTTTGCTTCTCTGTACCGGCTAGAGGACACATCACTCCATTCCTTAATAACCATCTCATCTTGAAGATGAAGTCGAGGCGAAAACTACACCTTGCTTGCCTGCTTTTTGGAGTGATTAAGTCACAGGAACCACTGTACCTGTACGAGAGGCTTGGCTGGATTGGAGCTCAGAGAGATCGTGAAAGGCGAGTATGCTCACAGCAAATGGCTACGCCTGCGCATAGATCTGCATCTTTTAGGGGTGCTTTCCGTTGTGCAGCCTCGAAAATATGGAACAATATCCCACCACCATTGAGGCAGATCAATTCGAATTACACATTCAAACATCGATTAAAACAATATCTACTTGATGCGCAGCGGGAAATGGGCCTATATCGCGGTGATTCCTCATTTATATAGATATATATGTGTGTGTGTGTTTATATATATACATATATTTTTTCTGTGAGTTACGTATTGTGTTGTTTGGTTGCTGTATGAATATATTTATGTATATATATTTTTTGTCCTTAGTGCGTGTCTGTCAATATAAAATGTATATACACGTATCTAATTTATGTATGATAGTATTGAATGTGATATAGATGATATATTGTTTCTAGATAATTTTGCGAGTATGTGTTTCTGTTTTTTTGTTTTTCTTTTTCTCTTATATTGTTATGCCGATAGTCAGTTGTCAAGAGAACTATAGGTGTCAATTGAAAATCAGCGTCAGGTCCCACAAACCTGACAACATGCTGAATTGACAACCTGTTTTGGCGCAGCCGCGAGATAGCAACAGTATAAATTATAGTTGTAACGACAGTTATTATTAGTTATTAGTGTGTGTTACTTTTTTGTGTTGTTTGTTTACGATAATTTTTCTTTTTCTTGTATTTTTTGTTCTCAAAATCTTGTATCTGCTGTCTCGTTGTTTGTGTCAAAATAAATGTATTTTCTTTCTTTCTTTCTTTCTTTTCTTTCTTTCTTCTACTGGTGGAAATGGAGCGACGTTCCGGTGTAGGCAGAACTTTTTACTCAAGCGTCAACAGAACTTATTTCTTAAAATATAGATTTTATTACAAAATATTTTGTGGTGACGATGAACAACTACCTTACCTTACACTGTGCGTGGTACGACACGCACTTGGCCGTTTTTTTTGTATTTTTATCTCTGTTGTGAGGGTTATCTCTTGTAGGGGACTCTGGGCCACCCGCCTGGCGTACCTTAAACCCGGCCCTGTCCACACATCTCGGTGTTTCAGTCAAACAGCACTCGCTTGGGCCGTTTCACTGCGCGGCAGAACACCGTCCATCATTCCCGGATATCTAGCACCCTGGGGGAAAGTTATAGTGTTAGTGCTTCCGCCTTATATTTAGAACTAAGTATATTCTTTCGAATAAATGTTGAAAAGGCGAGTTATATAGAAGATTAGATAGATTATTTGGTGAATTACACAATATATTTGAAGTGAAAACTTCATTAGAGCCGTTGTGATTTGAAACTCGATGAAACGAAAAAGCGACAGTATTTGACATAAGGTATCCCTAATTTTGTAACTCTCTCCAAGAGACAGATAGCCAAACGGTTTCGGTCTTGGGGTTGACAGCGAATGATCGGTGGTTCGATCCTGCGCTCGGTTATTTTTTTGTTTTCTTTTTCTTTTATTAAGCTATTATTTATTTTTCGTAACAATCTAATTGGAGGTTTTACTTCTATCACATGTGAACAGCACATGTCCGTTTTTAACACACTTTTATTAGTTTCACCTGTATGTTTGTATATATGTAACTGACTCGTTTGGATTCGATTTTGCCCAACTTTAAGCGATCAGATTTACTTTAAACTTGGCAAATACACACATCAAAAGTGTCTAGGGATCAACATATATTTTTGCAATAACTTTTCTCCTGATTGATATTAATTAAAATTTTCTTTAAGGATTCATCAAATAAAGTGTTTTCGTTTGTCACAGTAACGATAAACCAAGTCACCTTTGCATTAATAAAGAAATTTGCCATTTTCCTAATAAAGGGATTTTTGACATTTGAACCACTAACACAAAAGTTCGAAAAAAAGACTG